ACCGTCATTACGCAGCACCAAGGTCCCAACAATCTTCCTGCCCCTGGTGCCTGCAATTGTACCCCTAATCAATAAATTGACAATAAATCCGAACGTGGGGAAATTCACGACGAAATCGATGGCCAACAGTGGACTCAGAGTCCACTGCGACGACATGACAACCTACAACGCCATTCAGAACGCCCTAGCTGAAGACAGCACCCAATTGCACACACACCAGCCGCGCAGCGAAAGGGGCTATCGTGTAATAGTGCGTCATTTACACCACACTACGCCCAGCAGCTGGATAACGGAGGAGCTGGAACGACTCGGATACACTGCCCGGTTTATCCGAGGATTAAAACACCGTTTTAATGGAAGGCCTCTAAACATTTTTGAGGTTGAAATTCAGCCCAAGGCGGATGGCGGCCATGAGGCAATACTTGACGTTAAACAACTGGCCAACCAGTGCGTCTCGATAGTGAGACAAGCCAAGCCACGCGATCCAGCCCAATGCCATAGGTGCCAGGAGTTTGGGCATACTAAAAATTATTGCAGACGGCCATTCATGTGCATGAAATGCGCAGGAGATCACACCACAACAGCATGCAGGAAACACAGGCAGGAGGATCCTAAATGCGCCAATTGTAGCGGCAAGCACGTGAGCTGCGACAAGGGATGTGCCGCCTACAAAAAGGCTCGTAGCCATCTAAGGGCAAACCGGCTCATCGGTGAGCAGCAGTATCAACAGCAACGCCAGCAGCCACAGCAGCAAACCGAGAAGCAACGCCCACAACAGAAACACAACAAACATCAGCGTACGCAGCAGCAGCAGCATCAGCAGCAGTCACAGCAGACGCAACGACAGGGCCGCCAACAACAACAACAGCAGCTAGCAACAATCAGCGGCAGCGGTAGGCCGTCGTACAGCCGGGTAGTACGTAGCGGAATTACTGAGCAGGAGCAGCAGCAGCAACAGCCACGAGCGGACAATCATCAACAGCAGCATCGCCGACCACAGCAACAGCAGCAGCCATATGTCCGTACTGTTGAGCAGCAACAGCCATCACAAAGGAAGCGGCCACAGCAGCAGCAGCATCAGCGGCAGCAGCGCGCAAGAGTTGTACAAGGGGCCAAAGCAGCACCAGCACCAACTCCAATAGCAGCAGCAACGCCCAACACCCGCAGGCCCTTGTATAGCCGAGGTGCTCAAGCCAATCCGGCCGAAAATCATTTGGCCAAGTTCCAACAGAAGTTGAGGGATGAGCAGCAGCAGCACCACCACCAGCAGCAACAAGAACAGCAAAAAACTCTCCCCGCAAATTTCCAGTCCCATGCCCATAAAGAAAATGCAGAATTTCTCTCAAGACTTGAGGCCAAAATCGATAGTCTATTTTCTGCAATAGTCAAATTAATAAATATCAATACAAATAAAACAAGCAAAACAACAAATAGCAGTTCACCAAACTCTTTGGACATGGCCCTGTCTTCCGCCAATGATGCCTTTTATGTTTAGTCCAGTCCCGAATGGCCTGTCAAACCAAAAAGTCAATCCAGTACAGACTATTTCCACCCACAGCGTCAGCCAGAACGGCAACACTTTTAAAATTGCCTTCTGGAACGCGTGTGGTGTGACAAACAAGTTGAACGAGGTCGAAGTTTTCCTGAAAAGGAAAAAATACAATTAATGATGGTCATCGAAACACGCACAAGGGCCGTCTCTGTGAGCGGATTCCACACTTACACTGCACAAAATCCGGCAAACGATCGCAGAGGGGGAGTAGCCATCCTGGTCCGGGACGATGTCACCCACTCTGCTCTGCAGCCAATTTCAAAGCCATTCATCCAGAGTGCACCTGTCATCGTCTTCACTGAAAAGGAAAATAAAAAGGGAATTATTTTTGCGCCGATCTACTGTCCGCCTGTATTCAAGTGGGCGCCTGCCCATTTTACTGGATTGATAAGACATTTTGAAGAACTCTGCGTCGAAGAAACAGCATCCGGCTTCCTTGTATGCGGTGACTGGAACGCGAAGCATGTGTGGTGGGGAAATGCCCGTGGATGCGCCAGAGGGAAAGCACTGATGGAGGCTGTACACACCAACAACGGCTGCAATTTGCTGGCCACCGGTGGTGCCACACACTATCCCTACGACAAAAAAAAGAGACCATCAGCGATTGACTTTGGAATCTACAAAGGAATCAACGACACTCACCTGAGTATCCGTTCAAGCTCGGTTTTGGACTCTGATCACTTGCTGCTCAGGGTGGAGTTGACGATCGGCAACGGTGGACGTAGACATCCTACGCCCACAGTCAGGAATCATCTGCTCCCAGCACGCGCCAATATCAGCCTGTTCCAAAAGTCGCTGGAACGGTTGATCAATCTCAACACCGAGATTAGGATAGCGCAGGACATTGATGACGTCGTTTACTTGTTTTTGAACAATATACGGGTAGCAGCAGCAGCAGCAACAACACAACATCAACAGCAGCATCCAAACACTCATCGAAGATGGCCACAGCAGCGTCAGCATCATCATCAGCAGCGGTCACAGCAACATCACCGGCACCATCACCTCAAGCTGGACGAGGCTACAAGCGAGCTGCTCTCCATCAAACAGCAGTGCAAGAGGATCTGGCTGGCGACCCGCACCATCGAAGCCAGACGAAACTACAGGGCGGCGCAAAATCGTCTTAACAAGGGGCTCACAATCCTGAAAAACAAAAACATCAACAAACTGTTCACAGGGATTGACAACAAAGACCGCTATCAAATGCAGAAACTTTGGAAATTGACCAGCACAATCAAAAGACAGCCGCAGCCAAACTGGCCACTGAGGCTGCCAACTATGACTGGAGGCAAGGCAAGTGTCTCGTGGACAAAGTCAACAGCTGAGACAGCCGATGCCTTTGCTACTCACCTGGAGGAGAGATTCAGCCCGATACTGTCCAATTCAGATGAAGAGCGGGCCGCAATCAATAGAGAGCGTGAGCAGTCAAAACGGCAGAAGCAGCTACAACCGGACCAGGAAACCAGGATTCCCTTCAGACCAGTCACACTGCCTGAGCTGATGCAGATTGTGGATGCATTGGAGCTGTCCAAATCACCTGGGGGAGACAAAATCAATAACAAACTGATTAAAAATTTGCCAAAAAAAGCGCTATTATATTTAATACTAATATATAACTCCATTTTCAGGCTGGGCCACTTTCCAAGTCAGTGGAAACATGCCCAGATTAAAATGATTTTAAAACCGGGCAAAAACACAGCAGACATGTGTTCCTACCGGCCAATCAGTCTATTATCTGGCCTTTCAAAGATCTTTGAAAAATTGCTGATGGCGAGACTGTTTGAGGTGGAGAATTTTGCCAAGGCCGTACCCAATTACCAATTTGGATTTCGGCGGGAGCATGGCACTGAACAGCAGCTGGCTCGAGTCACTCAATACATCCTCAAGGCGTATGAGAAAAAACAAGTTTGCTCGGCAATTTTCCTGGACATTTCCGAAGCTTTTGACCGAGTATGGCATGAAGGGCTGCTGTACAAGTTGATGAAGCTGCTGCCTTTAAATTTGTACTGCATTCTGGAGAGCTACCTGGCTGAACGCACTTTTTGTGTGAGCTGCGGAGACGAGGAACTTTCAAGAATCGGGAAAATATCAGCTGGAGTCCCACAGGGCAGTGTTCTTGGACCAATATTATACACAATCTATGCCTCGGACATGCCAATGCCTCACCTCATCCAGGACAGCACTGGCTTCCATCCAGAACGGGAATCAATGCTTCTGTCCACGTATGCCGACGACACGGTGATAATGAGCGCATCTGCAATCCCAAATGTGGCAGTCAAATATAACCAAAGATACCTGACTCACTTCTCTATATGGGCCAAGAAGTGGTGCATTAACATAAATGCGAAAAAAACCGGACATGTAATATTCACACTGAGGACAATTAGATCAACGGACTTAAGGCAAACGCCGACTATAAATGGACAGGCTGTGCCACTTGCCAAATCACACACATATCTGGGCATAAAATTGGACAAAAAACTCACCCTAAGCTCACACATCACGAGGATCTGCACAAAACTCCGATCAAGAGCGGCCAAACTGGACTGGCTTGCTGGCCCAAAAAGCCGGCTGCCAAGCGAAACCAAGGCTATAGTCATCAAGCAGCTCATCATGCCCATTTGGCAATATGGTCTTCCGGTTTGGGGCGCACTTACATCCGATTCCCAGCTGCGACGGGTGCAAAGCCTACAAAATAAAATTATTAGACGGGCAATGAAGGCGACAAGGTTCACCAGGAACGATGCGATAAGACAGACTCACAATCTAGACACAATCGACGAAGTGTTCCATGCGGCAAGTGGGCGCTTCGCCAACTCCTTGGCTTGCCATGTCAATCCGGAGGCTCGGAAACTATTACTGCAGCCGTATGAACCACAGCGATTGCAGAGACCACGTTATCTGCAACAGCTGCTCCAACACTTCCGCCCGCTGCAGCCTCAAAATCAGGATCGGAGCAGCCATCATCATCAACATCCAGATCCGGCCATCTCCGAGGAATCGCTTCCAACGCTGGTCCGTCTCGAAGAGGAGGAGCTGAAAAGAAAGAGACAGGAGGAATCAGACGCCAGGCAATTAAGAAGAATCCAACAACAAAATATCATCAATCCGAACCCCGAAAGGTTCAACGAATCGATGATAAATTGCTTCAGAAAACGATACCTCAGCGGCCAAACTCCCCGAGAAAGAATAGTGGCTCTTATCTTTGGCCAGCCACTTTCTGTCCAAAGGATAATCCTGCCAGATTACGAGGGGGATCCCGATCCAGCGACGCAGCAGCAGACGCAGCAGCAGACTCAGCAGCAGACGCAGCAGCAGACTCAGCAGCAGATGCAGCAGCAGACGCAGCAGCGGACCCAGCAGCAGACGCAGCAGCGGACTCAGCAGCAGACACAACAACAGATGCAGCAGCAGACGCAGCAGCGGACTCAGCAGCAGACTCGGCAAATTCTGGCGAGCAGCAACCGGCAGACGTCACATCATCGTTGCCAGACACGGGCTGCAAGCAGCAGCTCACGCACCCTGGACGACAGCCATCGACGCAATCCGCAAGAGGCACTTCTGGACCACGGACTGGAGCAAGTCCGACGGCGCCTTGAACGGGTGGTCGACGACGACGACGTCCAAATCATCTCAGATGACGACGACGACGACGTCCAAATCATCACCGATGTCCAATCCATCTCAGATGACGATGACCACAACAACGACGATGATGCCGGCCGGCACATTGCGCACACCGCCACAGTGACTCCGCACTTTGGTGCAGCAAGGCGCCGCTCACTGGGACGCCGCAATCCGGCCGCAGCAAGTCCAATGTTCCTGTGGTGGACATTGTCGTTGTACCTGGTAAATGTAAAAATGACATTAAAATTTGCAAAATTATCCCCTCCACAGAGTAATATAAAACGGCACAAAACTCACCTGAAGCGTGTACAAACACGCTTGCGACACCGGGCGACACCCCTAGTTGCTCCTCTGATCCTTTCTCATGGGCGTCACCACGGCATCCGGCCTCCAGAAGGGCTCCGCGGACGAGAGTCATCACGGCTGCTGGTTGGCTATGAATGCCAATTTGGACACGCTTGCGCTGCACACATGGCGCATCCGAATCCACGCAGGGGTGGTTTTCCTGCACTTCATGGCTGCTGGCAACCATCGCCACACAAATCTGGCCGAATCCCGGGCCACCTGGAGGACCACGGCGATCGCTCCATCCACTCTGCACGGCGCTGTGCATTGTCCACGTCTCCTGCCGCACCTTACACACGCGCTCATCCAGCGCCGTACGGTTGCGCACCGTGCCAAACACTCTGCTCCAGACGACGACGATGATCCAGTACCTGCAAATAGAAATAAAATAGAATTAAATTAAATTAAAATGTAAACAATTGTTCAAATATTGTCAATACTTATCTGTTTGTGACCACCGCTGATTTATGTACGTTAATCCTGTGATTGACACATAAGGGCTGCCAGACCATTAGTTTCATGTTTTAATGTTAATGTTAATGTAATGCTACTGTAATGCTAATGTTAATGTTAACAGCCCGCCAATTTTAAAAATCACATCATTGTTGTTAGTTAAGCTTAAATGTAAATTGCCGAAGTTATGGTAATAAGAAAAGCTGGAAATAAACTCCGCCAGTAGCAAAGCTGGCGGGCGAGTGTGCGCATCGTAGGCGTGCACGCGCATCTAATTACATCGAAAAAAAAAAAAGTGACTTGTGTTTTTTGTTGTTTTATGTGGAACTTTAAATGTATTAAAATACATGTTTAAACCGGGACTAAATTAAATGAAACTAAATAAACAATATGTGCCAAATAATTGCAAATAATGCAATATAATCATCTGTGATCGTGCCTTAATTCAGGGAAGCCAATAAACCCAACTGAGGAAAGAGGAAGAAAAAGCAAGCTACTGAGTACCTGGACCAGGCCACCAAATGGACGCACTTGCTCCAAATCTGACGACCAATAATATGGATGTTATGGATGCTATGGACAACTCGGCAAGAGCCGAAGCGGGTGGTGAGTGCGTTACTCAAATAAGTTCTGCCGTCATATCGACCAGGCCCCTGGGAGGGAACCCCTCCGCAAATGCATCCCTCTTCGAACCAATGTTCGACTCAGAGGGGGATGCGGATCTGGCTGAGTTGGAGACGGACTCGCCAGAGAGTACCCTGAGCTCCTTGGGAGCTACGGTGCTGGAGTTCGAGCGTCGTTTCGTGGACAGGGGTTTATATGTTAGAAAATACCCGCCAATCCCACCAAAAACAGACGCCAACATAGAAGAAAAACCGCCATCAAATACACGTACAAACACGCAGACAAAAATAGCCCCCAGCGAAAGTGCAACGGGTTCCAAAAATAGCGGCGCTTTCGCACTAACAAAAGAGCATTTAAGTGCACATAAACAAAACAAGAACAAATGTTATGCCCATATGTTTTCGTGCCAAAACATTAGCGAAAACAAAAACAAGCAAACAACTCACACAAGCATCAGAGAGAGCGACGCTTGCGCTCTCTCGGCAGCCGAACCCTCGGCGCACAATCAAAACGGAGGCTCGTCACATCAAGCCCCAAAGCGTTTGCCGCCAAACAAGCACTCACACACTTATGACAAAAAGAGAGATGCTTGCTCTCTCCCGCCGAACCAAAACACAAACACATACAAGAACGAAGCTAGCCTGACCTACGCCAATAACAAAACAAAGACAAACACACTGACTTATGCCGAAACCATAAACGGCACACAGAAAAACAATGACCAGCAACAGCAACAAAGTTTGACGACAGCTGAACGCAATAATTCTAGCAGAAGCAGAAAATGCTTGCTGCCCACTCTGACTCAGGCGGACGAGCATAATACTCAGACAAGGCCTAGTACCAGAACAAAACTGGTAAAGGAATGGCTAATTAGCGTTCCCCCGCTACTGGCCAATGAAATGCCCTCGCCCCTGCCCCTTACCCCTATAGCAAAGGATAAATTGACTACAAATTCGTTTCGCTCGCCGCTCAAAAGAAGATGCGCGGCGATCGAAACGGATACAGATGACGATGACTTCACCTGCCTCACTCTGGACACGCCCATGTTCAAGAGCCAATTCGCGAAAAGGCTGCATCATGAGACCCGGCAGATGGAGTCAGATGCTGGGCAAATACGCACACCGTCAAATAGTGTGGTTCCGGTTCTGGAGGTCCAACATAGGGAGCCCCAAAGGATAGAGGCTGAAAGCCAACAGATGGAAACGGACAATCATCAGCCGCAACATCAGCCAGACATTAGCATAAATATAACGCCAGTCCAACCGTCATTACGCAGCACCAAGGTCCCAACAATCTTCCTGCCCCTGGTGCCTGCAATTTTACCCCTGATTAACAAATTGACAACAAATCCGAACGTGGGGAAATTCACGACGAAATCGATGGCCAACAGTGGACTCAGAGTCCACTGCGACGACTTGATAACATACAACGCCATTCAGAACGCCCTAGCTGAAGACAGCACCCAATTGCACACACACCAGCCGCGCAGCGAAAGGGGCTATCGTGTAATAGTGCGACACTTACACCACACCACGCCCAGCAGCTGGATCTCTGAGGAGCTTGAACGACTCGGATTTACTGCGAGGTTTATCCGAGGTTTAAAACACCGTTTTAATGGAAGGCCTCTAAATATTTTTGAGGTTGAAATTCAGCCCAAGGCGGATGGCGGCCATGAGGCAATTCTGGACATTAAAAACCTGGCCAATCAATGCGTCTCCATAGTAAGACAAGCCAAGCCACGCGATCCAGCGCAGTGCCATCGGTGCCAGGAGTTTGGGCATACTAAGAACTATTGCAGGCGGCCATACAAGTGCATGAAATGCGCAGGAGATCACCCCACAACAGCATGCAGGAAACCCAGGCAGGAGGATCCCAAATGCGCCAATTGTAGCGGCAAGCACGTGAGCTGCTACAAGGGTTGTCCCGCCTACAAAAAGGCCCGCAGCCATTTAAGGGCAAACAGGCTCATCGCTGAGCAGCAAAGGCAGCAGTACCAACAGCAACGCCAGCAGCCACAGCAGCCAACTGACCAACAACGCCCACAAACTCAGCAGCCGAGTCGCCAATCCCAATCCCAGCAACAACAGCAGACAGCAAACACAGGCACCAGAGGTAATGGCAGGCCTTCCTACAGCAGGGTGTTGCGGTCCGGGAATGCTGAGCAGCAGCAGCAGCCACGAGCGGCAGAACGGCAACAGCCGAAGAACAGTCTTCGTCATTCCCAGCAACAGCAGCCTCATATCCCCGCCCCCAAACAACAGCAGTCATCTCAAAAGAAGCGGCCACAACACCAACAACAACAGCAGCACTCAAGCGGCAGACAGGGGGCCAAAGCAGCACCAACACCAGCTGCAGCAGCAGCAGCAACGCCCAACACCCGCAGGCCCTTGTATAGCCGAGGTGCGCAAGCCAATCCGGCCGAAAATCATTTGGCCAAGTTCCAGCAAAACCTAAGGGAAGAGCAGCAGCAGCAACATAAACAAAAACAGCAGCAGCGCGGTCACAATTTGGGTCGGCAGCACCAGCAGCAGCACCAGCATCGCGGCCATCATTCCCAGCCACAGGCCAAGGGGCGCCAATGCCAGCGCGATCAACGGGTGCAGCCAACTCCAAATCGTTTCCAGACGCCGAGAAATCCCCAGCATCAGCAGCAGCCGGCCATCCAATGCGATGGCAAGTGTGTGGAAATCCTGAAAGAGTACGCCGTCAAAATAGAAAACTTGGAGAAAAGACTGCAAGAGCTTACCATACTAATTGCAAGCCTGACGGAGGCAAAGGGCCGTGGCTCAGCAGCGGCCAATCCTCCAACACAGACACCAGCAGCAGCACCAGCACCAACACCAACACCTACAAGGCCCGCCGCCAATTCACAACCTGACGCCGCAGCCGTATCGGAGGACTCTGATATGGACTGCGAAGCACTCAGCGACGATGGCGACGACCAGTGGACGGACGACGATTCAGTTGACGACGAGATAGCGGATATCCTAGACGACTACGATAGCTACTACTCTGACTACTTTTGATGAGCCCAAAAGTCGGTCCTGAGGCAGCCTGACAATCCACCGCACAGGTCCAGAGCAGCCACTGAAATAAAACAAAATGACGTCAATTCGCATACCAACAAAATATGGACAAAACTCAAAATAATCACACGTACCTGCCACGCCTCCGACAGATCTGCCCCTCCAGCAGCTGCCCCTTCATCAACACCACACATTTGATGCCAATTGGACGACATTTTGGAATATATTGACGACGCTCCGGACAATCCACCGCACAGGTCCAGAGCAGCCACTGTAAATAAACCAAAATGACGTCAATATACACATCAACACAAAAGGTCCAAACATACACAAAACATACGTACCTGCCACGCCTCCGATAGATCTGCCTCTCCAGCAGTTGCCACACCAAATTCGCCATCCAATTCCTGCCAAATGGGCGAAATTTGAGGCCCCTATCGTCGTCGCCATCAACATCCAGACTGCCGCTAAAAGAAGAAAAAAAACATCAATTCACGCATCAACACAAAATAGCCATTACTTCTACTAATCACACTTACCTTCAATACACTCACAGATCAGCCTCTCCAGTACCTGCCTCGCCACCAACCGCAACATTTTGTTGCAAGTTGGGCCCAATTTGGACGCCCCTCCAACAACGCTGCCGTCAACCGATGGCCGTGACGTCACGCCATCATCACAAAACAGCAGCAGCAATCCAACGACGAGGCCAGCCAATACAGACACCAATGGCCAGCGCGCCATCTCCATCTCCATCTACATCGACAGTGCATCCTGGGTGGCCGGACCAGAGCCACTCGGATGCAGCCAATCCGCACTCATATGCGGCCATCTCCACTGCGGCCATTTCCACTGGTCATCGCACCCCGATTGGCCGGACCAGTGTCAATCCCCATTTCTCCAGGCAGAAGCAACGTGGGCGGCCGGACCAGAGTCGCTCGTCAAACACCATCACCATCCACGCCAACTCCTGGATTCTGCCTCTGCCAATTCTGATGCTGCAGATGCGTGATCTGCTGCATCACACACACGTGCACATCCAGCGCTGAGGCGGATGCGCCCTGTGCCATCCACTCTGCTCCAGACGACGACGATGATCCTCCAGTACCTGAAATAGAAAATAAATAGAATTAAATTAGTCTATAAATATCATTAATGTTGCAATCTGTTCAATACTTATCTCTTTGTTTGTATAAATGTACGTCAATTATTGCGAATGTCAAAATAGGGCTACCAGACTGTAATACTGATAGAATGTAAACA